GTTTAACGTGCATTGGATAAATATTATTCTTATAATTGTCTTTCATTCACTTCCCATTTTGCATAATAAAATTAAATGATCTGTACTTTGAAATGGATTTTTTTTTCAATGATATCCTTCTGTTTTTCTGTAATGATAATTTTGATGATTGCAATACTTAAAATATTCAGCCTGAAATGTTAAAAGAATTTTAATTATTATTTCTGTCTGAAAGATTTTATAAATCAGAAGACATCAAAATAATATCGATAATTATCGATGATCAAAATAATATCGATAATTAATTGAATCATACATCCGAAATAAATTTTGCAAACAAACAAAAAGAGATAAAATTATGCTAATTATTATTATAAATCAATAATTACCGAAAAAGTTGAACATCACAGTAGGATTATAAAATTATATTTTAATAATATAAAAATAAAGTAATATTTTAATAATATAAATGCAGAATACATCCTTGACATTTAAAATCTTGATCGCAAAATGGCGGATAAATAATGTTTCATTAATTTCATATGCAAATTTTGAAAGTCAGAGTGAATTAATTTATATTTGCATTTTATGTTTGTAACATCAAGAATCAAAAAAATTTGTTATTTATAATTATAAATCTGTGAACAAAAAAAAAAAAAAAAATCGTTTTCAAAGTAATATATTTATCACTTATTATTCACGTATATCTTTTAATAATAATAATAATAATAATAATTAAAAAACTGACAGTTCAAAATTAGTTAAATAAAGTATTCCAAAAAAATTCAATGTTAACTAGTAAAAAGAAAAAAAAAAGTATTCCGTTTAATATTATTTGATGTCATTATTATTCCTTGCTAAAAAGAATAAATAATTTCAACTACACTTGCTGCCTTATGTATTTTGATAATTCTTAAGATTTATTTTTTAAAATATACAAATTATTTAAAAAAACATTTTAAATTCTTATTTTGAAATTTATTAAAAATTAATTTTAATTTTACAAATTATTACTTATTTTTACAATATTATTTTTTAAGCTTTAATTTTTTTTCTTTCTTTTTTTGAAACAAAATTATAATCGTTTATTTTTAAAGACTCTTTTATACTTATATAATTTTAAATTTAAATTATTTTAGAAAATTTTTCAAATTGAAATTAATTATAACTGAAGTTTTTGTCTGAAAACTTTGTTGTAACTGCATAATGTTTTCTTTAAATTAAAAAAATGGCGTATTATATAACAAAATGAATATTATCTTAAGATTTAAATATCTTTTCATGTTCAGTTTTGTAAAATATATAGGTAATATCGAAAATGCACAATTATTTTGTGACTTAATAGAAATTTTATTGAATTCTTCTACAATATAATATTGAAATTATTTCATATCATACTTAGATAAAAAATTGAATTCTTTTTTTTAGACTTGGATGCATTAAAATTTATTAAATTCAGTAAAAATTAACTGAGATTTTTAAAAAAGATAATATACAGTCTGTTTTTTGAATTCATTAAATGACTTAATTGAAAAAAAAAAATATTCGTGTTTTTTATTCCTTAAAATAGATTTTTTTTATAGAATGCATTATTAAAAATATAAGATAAACTTCTTATCACTGAATATCATAAAAACAGTGTTGGTTTCAAAATTTTACAAAATAATTCAGCAGAATTGAACACATGATTTTTGGTCGAATTCTTGCATATTGTATTGATTAGTATATTGAATGATTGCATTCATAGTATATTGAAATTATTTCATATCATACTTAGATCGAATTGCAACTCAATTTTTTAAAGACTCGTATGTATTAAAATTTATTAAATTCAGTAAAAATATTATCTGAAATTTTTTAAAAGAGATAACATTCAACCTTGTTTTTGAATTCTTGATTGAAAAAAAAAGAAAATATTCATGTTTTTTATTTCTTAAAATAGCCTTTTTTTATAGATAACATTATTAAAAATATAAGATAAACTTCTTATCACTGAATATCATAACAGCAGTAGATTGGTTTCAAAATTATACAAGGACTGCAACAGAATTAAACAAATGATTTTTAAACTCAATTTATTCAGAAAAAAAAAAATTACATACAAAGCTGTCAGATAGATAGAATAAGATATCATGAGAGGCTAAAATAATAGGATACAAACTTGTCATAAATATTATGAAGGGCACGAATTATAATCAGAAATCATGCATGGATTGATAAATCTGAATGGTTAACAAGCACGAATCAAACATCAAATATAATCTATTCTATTCTGATTAAAGACTCTACAGCAAAAGTTAACATTCAAGTTGTTACATACCGGATTTTAGTTGCAGAAATGTTTCAACTTTTGACATTAATAAATAGCTTAAAGCGTAAAATTGTTATCACTGGTCACCTTTTTACTTGTACAGTATTAATAAATTGAGAAAGTGATTATATGATTATCATGTGATGTTTCAAAAAGAATTTAGTCTCTATCTATTTTGATCAAGATAAACTCTAAACTATTTTTTGAAAAATTAATTTACACTGATTTTTAGATTTACATTAAAGACTAATGTAATTTTCGAATCAAAATAATTTGATTAATTGATCTATTTGATTTGATCTATTACAGACTGCATTTTCAATTTTTTTATAAAATCAAAACACTATAAATTAATTCTTTTTCCTTTAGAATTAAAAAAATATTTTTCTAGTATTTAGTGTGGAATTATTTCCGATGCTTAACAAATAAACCTATAATCAATGTTGAAGATTGCCTCTTAATGAATAAAAGTTAATAAATATATCTTGCATATATTTATTAAAAAAATTAATTTTAGTTTTACAAATTATTATTTAATTTTACAATATAATTTTTTAAGTTCTCATTTTTTGTTTATTTTTTACACAAAATTATAAATTGAGGAAGTGATTATATGATTATCATATGATTTTTCAAAAATAAATTAGTCTCTATCTATTTTGATCAAGATAAACTCTAAACTATTTTGAAAAATTAATTTATGCGTTTTATTTTTAGCTTTACATTGAAGACTAATGTAATTTTCTAACCAAAATAATTTTATTTTATTAGTGTTTTCTATTAAACACTGCCTTATTTAATTTTTTTTTTTTTTACAAAATTAAAATAATGTAAATGAATTCTTTCTCCTTTTGAAAAAAAAAAATATTTTTCTAATATTTGGTGAGAACTAATAAGAATTATGTCCAATGCTTTAACAAATAAACCTATAGTCAAAGTTCAAGAATGTCTCTTAATAAATAGAAAGTCAATTTACTTGTATAATACAAATAAATTGAGAAAGTGATTATTTGATTCTGATGCACTTTTTGAAAGTTTTCTATCTAAAGATTAACTCTAAACTATTTTTGAAAATTAATTTACGTTTTATTTTTAGTTTTAATTTAATATAATTTTCTAACCAAAAATAATTTGATTAAACTATTATAATATTAAAGACTGTTAAATGTTTCTTTTTTTTTTACAACATCATAATACTATAAATTAATTCTTTTTCTTTATAATTAAAAAAATGTTTTTCAGTATTTGGTGTAGAACTAATAAGAAATCATTTCCAATGTTTAACAAATAAATTTATAGTCAATGTTCAAGCCTGACCCTTAATAAAAAAAAGTCAATAAATATACCTTGAATATATTTATTAGAAAAATAATTTTAATTTTACAAATTAATACTTACTTTTACAATATAATTTGTTTAAGTTCTCATTTTTTTTATTTATTTTTTAAGCAAAATTATAAATTCAGAAAGTGATTATTTGATTATCATGTACTTTTTCTAAGAATTTAGTCTCTATTAATATTGATCACAATAAACTCTAAACTATCTTCGAAAGATTAATTTACATTTAATTTTATTTTTACATTGAAGACTAATGTAATTTTCTAATCAAAAATAATTTGATTTGTTAAGTAGTTTTTATTAAAGATTGCTTTTTTGAATTTTTTTTTTTTTTAAATCAAAATACTATAATAAATTCTTTTACCTTCAGAATTAAAAAACAATTTTCTAGTATTTGGTGTAGAACTAATAAGGAATTATTTCCAATGCATAACAAAATAAATCTATAGACAATTTCTAAAGAATTTAGTCTCTATTTTGATCAAGATGAACTCTAAACTATTTTTGAAAAATTAATCTACAGGTTTATTTTTTTTAGGTTTATATTGAAGACTTCAACATAATTTTCGAATCGAAAATAATTTGATTTTTTTTTAGAATGATAGGTGGTTTTGATTAACTATTTATTATTATTTTTTTTACAAAATGAAAATAGTATATGTGAATTGTTTTTCCTTTAGAATTAAAAAAAATTTTTTTTCTAGTATTTAGTGTGTAAATGTTTCTAATGCTTAAACAAATAAACCTATAGTCAATGTTCAAGACTGTCTCCTAAAAAGTCAATAAATATACCTTGCATTTTTATGTTATCTGTTACATTTTTTATGAGAGAAAAACAATTATCTGGATTTCTTCATGCTTTGAACTCGTATCAGGGAGACTTCTAACCCCGAGTGATCAAATATTTACACTGTGGTATTTCACCCACTGTATAACACAGATCTATAACATTTTTGTATTATGAAAGAAAACTGGCATAAGTACATAACTTTGTGTATATCAAATAACTTTTGCCTTAATTTAGAGAAAATCTCATTTTATAAAGTCTCTGAAGATACCTCTGAAAATTAATACTGCCATAATCGTGCGATTTGTCTAAAATGAAGTGATTATTTCTTATACATTTTGTAAGTAAAAAATATTATAAGTTTTTTATTATAAAACTTATTTTTTAAATTTCTAACTCTAATTTTCCCTATGAACATTTCAAACTTGTATAATTAAATAATTTATTTAGGCACAACAGTCGGTATGATGAAAATCATTATTTTAAAAATCATATATTTTTCAATTATTTAAATTGCTCCATATTTTTAGTCATTTGAATTGTATTTTGAATTGCTTTAGTCGTTTATTTATATTGCTAGCCAACGGCCATACCATGCTGAATATGTACCGGTTCTCGTTAGATCACCGAAGTCAAGCATCATTGGGCGCGGTCAGTACTTGGGTGGGTGACCACCTGGGAACACCGCGTGCCGTTCGCATTCACAAATTTGGGACCTGAATGGCCGAGTGTCTTAGCGTTCTGGCGCTCGGTGCGACAGGTTTCGGGTTCGAATCCCGGCGGTGCCATGGATGTTTAGTAGTTCGGAATCCACTTTAAGCCGTAGGTCCCGGTCTTCTATGACTGTAAGAGCGTCACGGAGCCAAAGTCAGACTTCTACCTACGGGTGCTCCATCACAACAGAAGCTGATTCCTTCCCCTTCAATCATGAGTACGTATGGGATCGTGGGCTTGGCTAGCTAAGTGGGATAAGAAACAACAACAACATTTATATTGCTTCAGTTAATTATTTATGAATAGCTTCAGTTAATTATTTATTTGCTTCAGAATTGCTTCAGTTAATTATTTGAATTGCTTCAGTTAATTATTTATTCTTGAATGCTTCAGTTAATTATTTATATTGCTTTGAATTGCTTCAGAATTGCTTGAATTCAGATTAATTATTTATATTGCTTGAATTGCTTCAGTTAATTATTTATATTGTTTTTTAGTAATTTGAATTGCCTCCAATCCATTTTAGATTATTTATGTTGTTTGAATTGCTTCAAATTATTTATATTGCCATTTATTTAGTTAATTATTTAGAATGCAGTTAATTACAGTTTATTTATTGTTTTGAAAAATTGCGTCTACTGACTTTTTAAATCGATATTTTTTTCTACATAATATGCTAAATTATGTAAATATTACTTAAAAGATTCTCGTATGATAAACGCCCCTATGTTCGTTTCCCCATAAATAACTGGCGAGAATGTTGCCTAATTGCAAATATCATATTTAGAAAAATAACTGTTACATTTTGTAAGTTTTAGACCATCTTCCTACAATAGAGTTAGGTGAAGCCGTTTAAAAATATGCATTTCATATAATGCATATTTAAAATATATATATTGTCGTTTAAAAATATGTTTTCATAACAGTATAAATTCATTAAATTGATTTACAATATTAACTGTTGGTTAATTTAATTATTATTAATTTTACTATAACTTACAAGGCTCTGCCTACTGGCAGGTTTCGAGACAAGATTCGAGATTTTTTACGGGATATGGTTATCAGCCCTACGCCCAATGCTCTACAGTCGTATTAGACCGGGACCTATTGTTTAAAGTGAATTCCGAACCACTACAAGCATCCATGGCGTCACCAGGACTCGAAAAACAAAGCCTGTAACACCGGGGCCCAGAGCGATTATAACTCTTTTTACCCATAATTTTATTTGATCAGAAGTGAAAAATTTTTTAAGATACAAAATTAAATTTATAAAGTATTGCACAATAAAAAAATATTTTCAGATATCATTAACTTATTTTTTATAGGAATTACAGTAAATGTCAAATACTGGTAAACATCAACAAACATGCAAATAAATCGCATATCAGGAAAAAAAAATAAGCAGAAATAATAAATTATAAATTGAAAATAAATTATTTGAAATTTTCTGACGTTTATCCATATGCTTTCTATGATAAATTTTTAAAGAAATATTCCGATTAAATTAAACGAAGAGAAACTGTAAATAACCATTATTTACAATTTCGAAAGTAATAAAACACATCACATCATAATCTCATAATTTCATCTACATCATAATAAGTCTTCATTATGCATTATATCATTATGTGTAAAGGACCTATTCAATTTCTTTATATGAACGGTCTTCTTGAAGCTGTCCATCTGATTAGCAGAGATGAATCTTCTAAAAATGTCCATCTGTGCTCTCGAGTGTAACGAGCTCTGCAGCACATCTCATTTTTGTTGGATAGGTTGGATTCATCTTTAATCAACGTGGTATCTTTTCTAAAAAATAATAATAATATAATTAGATTTTTGCAGTATTCAAATTACTACATTTATTTTTAAAAATAATGTATGGTTATTACTGAAAAATAAAAGAAAATATCACATTTTAAGTCAAAACATAATTGAATCGAGTCGTGAATCTGAAATGCTTTTCTTCCTCACTAGAATTATGATGATTCCTTGATGAATGATGTCTTTAAGAGATAACTAAGGCAGTTCCAAATCCTTCCAAAAACACACAGTTTGTAAACTAACATGAAATCAGAGAAAAAGCAATCAAAATAAAGTGTTGAGGAATTCTTTTCTACCTATTGAGAGAAGGACTTTGAAAATGCATATCCGGTACTCTCTCAGCGGCCTGAGTGGCACTGGCTCGCGCTCTGGCCGTTGCGCCGGAAGCTCAGGTTCGAATTCAGCTGTGGCATGGATGCTTCTTTGGTGGTTCGTAATCCACGTTAAACTGTAGGTCCCGGTTTTGTTTAGCCTAAAGTATACACAAGATGACCGTAGAGTGAGTGAAACCATACTAAACCAAATGTTTGGAGTTATATCCAAATTTAAGATTTAATTGCCGTTCTATGTTCTGCGCGCTGCGTTTGACCAGGTAAAATATAACACATCACGCAGTAAGTTTCTGGTCTATCTTAAGAAAAACAATTTTTTTAAAATTCGACTTTATTAATCAACATACTTCATAAGAGCGATACTTTCATTAAGCGCTCCTCTACCTTTTTCGATGTCTTTTTGAAACGATTTGTCTTTGTTTCAAAATAGGCCTCAATTTCGGCAATAACTTCTTCATTTGAGCCAAATTTCTTTCTTGGGTATCTTTGATGTGTACAAACGTGGCAGTAATCGGTGGGCGCAATCTAGAGAATGCGGTGGGTCAGGAAGCAATTGAACAGTAATTCACTCAGTTTAACCATTCGTTTTCATCGACTCCAATACGGGGTTGTCTTGTTGAAATAGCACTTATTTCTTTTGCATGTGAGGTCGTTTTCCCTTAATTTATCTTTTAATAGATCCAATAATGTCATGTAATATTCGCTATTTAGTAGTTTTATCTTTCAAGTTAGTCATGGACCATGGCAATACCGAAATAAATATAACTGCCATAAACTTGACAGCTGTATTTTGAGTTTTTGGTCGATTTTTGGATGGTTTACACTGGCTGCTTTCTAATCAGATGACGATCTTTATGATTCAGGTGTGTAGTGTGAATCTTTATATTTCATCCATTGTCATG